GGTTCTAGTCGGTTACAGTCGGTTTGTTCGGATTTTATGGGTTTGTGAACAGCCCTACCGCTGGTGTCCCATTGACAAAAACAGACATCTGCACTGTTGAGATGCATAAATGAATCCACCGTCTCCACTGCTCCCCAAAGCCCATTATATCCATCATGGATAGTAAGAAATCGCAATTAACATTCTCATATGCCTTCTCAATATCCAGTTTGCAAACCACATCTGCCCACCCTTGCCAAATATGTGAATCCACACACTTATTAACCAGTAAAATTGCATCCAAAATCTGGCGACCTCATACAAAAGTACTCAGGAACTCAGACACCATCCCCTACAAAACAACTCTAAGCCTATTAGCCAAGACTTTGGCCAACAACTTATACACACTCTCAAGTAGGCTAATGAGTCTAAAATCACAAATGTCCTCTGCCACCCGCTGGAACTCAGACACCACCCCCTGCAGAACAACTCTAAGCCTATTAGCCAAGACTTTGGCCAACAACTTCTACACACTCCCAAGCAGGCTAATCGGTCTAAAATAACATATGTCCTCTGCCACCCCTTCTTCAAAATCAATGCAATGAATGTTGCATTAAAACTCTTCTCAAACTACCCAGATTGAAAATACTACGCCATTATAGTCATCACATCCGCCTTCACTACAACCCAACAATGTTGTAGGAAAGCCAATGTAAAGCGAATCAGGCTTGGGGCCTTATCGCCATTCATACCTTTTAACGCCCCAAAAACCTCCTCTTTGAAAAACACTTGCTCCAATGCCTACCGATCAATCTCCAAGATCACATCAAACTGAACCCTGTCCAGTATCGGATGCCACACCCCCTTTGCCTAATGGAACAACCTTTGATAAAACCCCAACAATCCCTCCCCCAATCTCCTTCTTTGACATCAAATCCACCCAATCCACCCGTATCTTACCTAGATGGTTCACCCTACGATGGTCATTGGCCATTCGATGAAAAAATCTCATGTTACGATCACCCTCTTTCAACTAAAGACACCTAGACTTTTGTTGAAAGCTAATTTCTTCCATCCGGGCAAGACGAGCATAATCCCTCCTTACATGATCCTTAATTAGGATATCATCCCCATTCAACCCCCATCAACTTCTTTAGCATCTAGGGACTGGAGCACTACCAAAACTTCCGCCTTCCGATCTTTTAGGGTTTAGGGTTTATCTTATATCCTACTTTTGCGAGTCTTGCCCCAAATTTGGGTACTTTGTCACAAGGAGGCTAAGTTGACCACATTGGTATCTTTAAAGTATAGTTGCATTGCATGGGGAAAGCTTAACATAGAACTATCTAGGACATGTGAGATACCATCCCAAACGTGACATGCAGGTTATAGAGCAAACGGCGACCATCAGCTCTCTAACAAGTAATACAGAGATACTCTTTTAACTCTGAGTTTATAAGCTTCATTATTAGTTAGATTAGACAATGATCGACCTTTGTGTAAAACGAGACACCATACAGTCATCTTTGGGTGGTAGGATCGCAACTCTTAATAGAGTAATGGCTAGATTGAACATTAAGAGAGAAAAGCCTATGTAGTGATAGGTGTCACTAAGGAAGGAGTGTGATGCTCTCAAAATATTTGTGAGTATCACCATCCCTTTTACTCGAGTTGGAAGCTAGAGAAATAAATCACGTCACTGACCATAGCAAGTGTACAAGAAAACAACACAATGACCGCAAAAAACAAAATACACATCCTCATGGTTAGTGATGCGACTTGATATTTAAGCTCTCTAACTCAATTGCGAAGGAAGTGTGAACTGCTCAAATCTTCTGAGTCTAACTAAGTTGAGGAGCTTAAGCAGTAGGTTGAATCGTCGACTATAGGGAGAACCAAAAAAAAAAAAAAACAGCTACACAATGGCTAAATGACTATAAAAACATAGTATACCTCTCCATAGTCAGTGATGCAACTTACCGCTCAAGATCAACACCTGAACTAGTCTCCAAAATCTGAGAGTATTGCACTTAATCTTTAGCCGACAACTCTCTACTTAGATTATCTCTTTCAACGGTCAATTTGGCTATTGCTCTTTCAGGAGTAGTGATCAAGTTACCCAATGGTGTTTCCATTGTGGCTCGATCAACAAAATGCTCACTTGTTGTCTAGTCCAATCGAAAACATAGTTCATCTACTAGAGACAATAGAGTATCTCTCATCCCAACCAAAAAAATCCATGGTAGCCTCTTGTTCTCCAATCTTCTTGATGTGATCAATGAGGGAGCATTCCATGTCTCGCACAATGCTAAGCACCTAGAATTGAGATAAAAATCGCAAAAGCATGAAACTAACTATGGGTAGGACTCCCAAATGTAACAAATATATTTTATCCTGACATAAGAAGAACAATTCAATTGTCCAACAGTATTAAAGGTCTTATTCATCTTCAAATCAGCACATCCAAGTTTGAAGTTAAACGAAAACCCCCATCACTCCCACACAAGACACCTCAACTTACACATTGCTAGTGCTCTAGTAAAGCAAAAACAACAAAACCAAAGTAATTCTAAACCACACTCTCTTTGGTCCACGATTGCATTTAGCATATGCAAGAAGCTTTAAACCACAAGATTACCCCTAGTAGATGAGTTATAATCTTGTGAGGGATTCCAGATACTATAAACCACAAGATTACCACTATTTACTCTGCTTCTTTTTCCCGTTGCTTCCTTTTTAATTACAATTACAATAGCACCTTTTGTAATCAACACAACCAAATTCACTGTTCCTATTTTTTATTCCTTAATAATAATTCTCTCTTGATTTACCTTCTCACTCGTGTCTCACTCCTTCCTTGAAGACACCAATAAATATCCATTCATAACTAAAAACATTAAAACATAATTCAATTGCTTATCCATCTTATCAAACTATTTCATTATATTCATATATTCCTTATTCTTCTCAGTGCCTATTATCTTCTTCCACATTTCTTTACTTATTTAATTTTGCTTAATAATTTTATTTCAAATCAATTGCTCACATGCACTCTTGTACATATAATTTAGCCACCCAAACATGTCGTCTTGTCATGTGATATTCAACATACCATTACTTTCTGTCAACACTCCAAACCAATATACTCAAATTCTATTATATGCTATCAATATTACTTCACCCACCAAAATATAATAATTTAATAATGTATTACTTTGTATCAGGATATCACACTCTCCTTCTTAAAAATTCCGTTCTCGAAATTTACCATCCTTAATACCTTGAAACTCAATAGACATGCTTCCATTGCACACTCAAATAAAAAATATTAACATTTTATGTTTAAGAGACTCGAATAATCACTTTCTCATATTTAAAGTTCAATACCCATGCCAGACGACCACTCTCAAGTACACAGGGTTTAGGGAAGTTTTAAGAATATCATAGTGTAATAGGTTATGTTTAGTCAAACTAATATCAATGTTATTAATCCTGCACACATGTAACTAAACAACTCCACAATTATTCCTCAATCCATTATCAAAATATTATTGATAAGTGAGTGCACCCAACTAACAATTAAAATATCTACTACATCAACCAAGTTCATTATCAATTTTTTGTTATCTGAATATCCCATAAGTCATACGCCTTAAATTATCCTAGTTTTTCATATGCTAACTTGTCACTCTTAGTGTTATTAAATGCAATAGGCGTACCAAGGCGCCAAGGTCTCCTAGGGCCTAGGCTCAAGGCACAAGCTTCACCGAAGTGAGGTGCACGTTGTACGGAAAAAAAAAATATAATTTAATATAAGTAAATAATTTAGGGTTCAACATAAACAAAATGAAATGTTAAACATTTAGTGTTTTTTGGAGATTATGAATTAGGGCTAATTTTTCTTCTATCATTGATTTGGGGTTGAATGCCCAATGTATCGGCATCTGTAATAAGAGTGGGGATCTTCTGTAGCTGCACCATATTAAATCAATTGTTAGATTTTAAACAAAACCAATTAAAACAACAATAAAAAAAGTCCTCAAGATGCAAGTCTTGGGCCAATCAGGCGCCTTATCACAGTCGTCTAGCTTAGAACACTACAAGGCACAAATCTTGAGACTGGATGGGACCTGGGCCTAGGGGCGCCTTATCGAAGTCGCCTGGCCTGGAACACTACAAGGAGCAAACCTTGGAACTAGATGGGGCTTGGGCCTAGGCGCACGCCTAGGCATGCTTTTAATAACACTAGTCACGCTTACACTGAATGAATTAATACAACTAAATCTTTAAAGTACAAATTACCTAATCACTTCTTATACGAAGTTCGAACAACGGATTGTGATTATTACTGAATCCAAAATCGACAATAACATAATTGCACCAAAACCATGAGTTTTCTCTGTAAAGAATTAACAACATCATTCTCCAATGAGGAATTGTCATCATGTCCTACCTAATAGATCCCACTCACCAGATAGAATAAGACAACAATCACAACACTAAATACAAATACTGTACATCTACATTTGAACAATGAACTAACTTCTACCACTCTTCTACTTATCAAACATCCATTAATCCAGGTTCAATGATTTACCAAAATCTCACAGATGACCAAGCTCCCAAATCAAAGGTATACCGGGTCATTACTAGAAAACCAAATCCTGTTGCCCAAATATTTTCTTAGTATCAACATTCCTATATAATGTAATATGCAAAACACATAATATATATGATCATAACCTCAAAATCCAATACAACTCAATCATAACCCCTAATCATCCGCAAGTATCAATTCACGGGAAAACTGAGAACAACAGAACCAAAAAATGAGCAATTGTCACTTCAGCAGAAGCAAATCAGCGACATATTTACAAACATTGAGAAGATTCTGACTCAACAGAAAGGAATCGTTACAAACAAGATCTAAGCTCTACATTTTCGCACACATGTACAGAGAAAGGGGAACAAAAATATCACAAATATCTCAGAATATATTAGACAGGGTATACAGTGTATACCTGTGAGAGCTACGGTGATGGAAGAGGACGGAAGTGGTGGTTCTGGTTGACGGCAGTGATGGATCGGCCCGCGGTGGTGGATGACGACGGCTGTGACGGTGGTGTAGATATAGAGAGAGAAGGGGGGATACCAGTAAGAGCTACGGTAGTGAAGGACGGCGATGGTGGTGCTGGTTGACGACGGTGGCTGATGGGATGGCGGTGGTGGACGAAGACGAGCGTGAGGGCGGTGTATGGGAGAATAGCGGAGAGTCCAGGAGGAGGAGCGATTTGTTTTAGGTTAAATAACTGTAACTAAAACAAAAAATAAAAATAAAAATAAAAATAAAAATAAATGAGAATTTTGGGTGAGTCGAAGAATTTTTTTTTTTTTTTTTTAAAAAAAAAAACAGCAGGTCCCTCACAAGACTCATAATATACATTGAACATGTTGTAGTTTATTATTCTTGACTCTTTATATTTTGAAAAGGTTCCACAAAGAATCCAACTTTGACAAATTATTCCAAGGGTCGACATCAATAATTGGCGCTTCAGTAAAAGAAGACAAAATTCATAGAAGATAAGGATTCTCCTCAGATATCAGAAAAATGCACGCCGAGAAAAGACAAAAAAGATTTTGTAAATATTTTGTGTCTGTAATTATTTGAGTCTGTCAGTGATAAAGATTTTCTTTCACTCATTACTTTAATAAAGTATGGATAACTCCTACCCTGCTTTATTAAAGAAAAGCTGTGAAAATCTTTACACGTGTCTTATAATAAATAATAGTGTCAAAATTTTATCAAAAAAAGGATTGAATGATATGCGATGGGGCCCAAAGCAGTACCCGATATCATTATCCTAATCTTTTATTGATAAGATTTTATGTAGAATAGTAAAGTATGTCATAATCCATGCATTTATGACTTGGAAAATTTTGCAAAAGTCTATGACATAGACTAGAGTAGCCTTTAGACTTTTTAAACCAAAACTTTTGACTTGAAGTTTGTTTGTAATCCCTAGAATTGTATGTATCTAGGACTTTTCTTATGTGTTACACCCTTCTATTTTGCATTTACACATTTGTATGTATTGGGTTATATCAAAATATTTGAAAACTTACACATTGGTGACCTGCTTTCCAGGTAAATTAATAAAATAATATATTATATGACTAAAGGTGTAAATGGTCACAAAAAATGTATAAGTTTTCACGAATTGCGTAAGGAATTTCAAAAAAATGCGTAACTGATTTCTTAAAAGTTACACCTTTTTCTGAAAACTTACGCCTTCTGTGAAATCATTTACACCTTTTATGAACACTTACTCCTTTTATGTAAGAATTTTTGGCATAAGATTTATACCTTTTGCTTCGAACATACACCTTTTGTGGAAGCCCAACTTAAAGCTTTTCGGAAGTCACTTATACCTTTAGTGAAAAAATAAATTCATCAAATTTACACCTTTTGCTTCAGCTTATACCTTTTCGTGGAACTGCTTATATTTTTTTTGAAAAGTTACTCCTTTTGTGAAATAATTTTTCAAATAAGATTTATACTTTTTCTTCAAACTTACACCTTTTGTGAAAGAGTATATAAGCACAAAAGTATAAATGTTATTGCAAAAATTCTTACACAAAAGGAGTAACTTTTCAAAAATGGTGTAAGTCTTTTTAGGAAAAGGTGTAAGCTTAAGCAAAAGGTGCAAATTTCATGAATTTTTTTTTCCACAAACGGTATAAGTGACTTCCGAAATAGCTTTAAGTTGGGCTTTCACAAAAGGTGTAAGTTCGAAGAAAAAGTATAAATCTTATGCCAACAATTCTTACACAAAAGGAGTAACTTTTCAAAAATGGTGTAAATATTTTCACGAAAAGTATGAAGGAGTAACATTTCAAAGCGTTGATAACCAGAAAAGGAGTAACAAAGGGTTCATTTCAAAATGTTGGTAAACACAGAAGGAGTAACATATGTTCATCTCAAAGTAGTAAACACAAAAAGAGTAACATTTCGAAGTGTTTATAAACCAATTGAGACAACCACTGAACAAATCAAAGGGTCGTGATCCCCGCTGACCACCCAAGCGTCGGTGGGCTCCGGTGCTCATAGCCTTCTGAGATCGGCAACTCCACTTGCACCGCCGCCGCAAATCAAAGGTTTTTTGAAAGATTGGCTATCGATCTTGGACTCTCTGTGTCGATGTCGGTCTCTCTCTGTCGATCCCTGTTTATCTCGGTCTGTCTCCAGCGATATTGGTCTGTCTGTGTCCATGTGGGTCTCTTCTCTGTCGATCTCTGTCGATTTCGGTCCCTCTGTTGATCAGTGTCCATCTAGGTCTCTATGTCTGTTGATCTCAGTCTATTTCTGTCTCTCTCTCTCTGTCCGTCCGTTGCTCTATATTAAAAACGGTTCTCTTTTACATTGACATACTTGGTTGGATTTGGGCTCGGAGTCGCTCTTCCAAGCCCTCCTAGACTCGTCTTCTCTGAAACGGAGTTCTACTAGGAGAAAGGCCAAGCCCTCCGAAACGCTCTTCTCTCTCACATTGCCATTATCTGAACAAGACAAATACAGTGTGTTGGATTTTAGGAACTTAGAAAAAAAACGGAACTTAGACGTTTTGCGAAGTTTCTTACATCTCTTTATGGCATAAGATCTATACGTTTTCTCCGAACTTACACCTTTTGTGAAAGTCCAACTTAAAGCTTTTTTGGAAGTCACTTATACCATTTGTGAAAAAATAAATTCATCAAATTTACACCTTTTGCCTAAGCTTATACCTTTTCGTGGAACTGCTTATATTTTTTTTGAAAAGTTACTCCTTTTGTGTAAGAATTTTTGGCATAAGATTTATACTTTTTCTGCGAACTTACACATTTTGTGAAAGCCCAACTTAAAGGTTTTTCGGAAGTCAGTTATACCTTTTGTGAAAAAAAAATTCATCAAATTTACACATTTTGCTTAAGCTTATACCTTTTCGTGGAACTGCTTATATTTTTTTGAAAAGTTACTCCTTTTGTGTAAAAATTTTTGGCATAAGATTTATACGTTTTCTCCGAACATACACCTTTTGTGAAGTCCAACTTAAAGCTTTTTCGGAAGTCACTTATACCTTTTGTGAAAAAATAAATTCATCAAATTTACACATTTTGCTTCAGCTTATACCTTTTCGTGGAAGTGCTATATTTTTTTTGAAAAGTTACTCCTTTTGTGTAAGAATTTTTGGCATAACATTTATACATTTTCTTCGAACTTACACCTTTTGTGGAAGTCCAACTTAAAGCTTTTTCGGAAGTCCTTATACCTTTTGTGAAAAAATTAATTCATCAAATTTACACCTTTTGTTTCAGCTTATACCTTTTCTTCAAACTTACACCTTTTGTGAAAGAGTATATAAGTACAAAAGTATAAATGTTATACCAAAAATTCTTACACAAAAGGAGTAACTTTTAAAAAAAAATATAAGCACTTCCACGAAAAGGTATAAGCTAAAGAAAAAGGTGTAAATTTGATGAATTTTTTTTGTCACAAAAGGTATAACTGACTTCCGAAATAGGTTTAAGTTGGGCTTTCACAAAAGGTGTAAGTTCAAAGAAAAAGTATAAATCTTATGTCAACAATTCTTACACAAAAGGAGTAACTTTTAAAAAAAAATATAAGCACTTCCACGAAAAGGTATAAGCTTAAGAAAAAGGTGTAAATTTGATGAATTTTTTTTCTTCACAAAAGGTATAAGTGACTTCCGAAATAGGTTTAAGTTGGGCTTTCACAAAAGGTATAAGTTCGAAGAAAAAATATAAATCTTATGCCAACAATTCTTACACAAAAGGAGTAACTTTTCAAAAATGGTATAAATATTTTCACGAAAAGTATGAAGGAGTAACATTTCAAAGTGTTGATAACCAGAAAATGAGTAACAAAGGGTTCATTTCAAAATGTTCGTAAACACAGAAGGAGTAACATATGTTCATCTCAAAGTAGTAAACACAAAAGGAGTAATATTTCGAAGTGTTCATAAACCAATTGAGACAACCACTGAACAAATCAAAGGGTGTGACCCCCGCTGACCACCCAAGCGTCGGTGGGCTCCGGTGCTCACAGCCTTCTGAGATGGGCACCTCCACTGGCACCGCCGCCGCAAATCAAAGGTTTTTTAAAGATTGGCTATCGATCTTGGTCTCTCTGTGTCGATGTCGGTCTCTCTCTGTTGATCCCTGTTTATCTCGGTCTGTCTCCAGCGATATTGGTCTGTCTGTGTCTATGTGGGTCTCTTCTCTGTCGATCTCTGTCGATTTCGGTCCCTTTCTCGATCAGTGTCCATCTAGGTCTCTATGTCTGTTGATCTCAGTCTATCTTTCTCTCTCTCTTTCTCTCTGTCCGTTGCTCTATATTAAAAACGGTTTTCTTTTACGTTGACATACTTGGTTGGATTTGGGCTCGGAGTCGCTATTCCAAGCCCTCCCAGACTCGTCTTCTCTGAAACGGAGTTCTACTGGGAGAAAGGCCAAGCCCTTCGAAACGCCCTTCTCTCTCACATTGCCATTATCTGAACAAGACAAATACAGTGTGATTGGATTTTAGGAACTTACAAAAAAAACGGAACTTAGACGTTTTGCGAAGTTACTTACATCTCTTTGTGGCATAAGATCTATACGTTTTCTCCAAACTTACACCTTTTGTGAAAGTCCACCTTAAAGCTTTTTTGGAAGTCACTTATACCATTTGTGAAAAAATAAATTCATCAAATTTACACCTTTTGCCTAAGTTTATACCTTTTCGTGGAACTGCTTATATTTTTTTTGAAAAGTTACTCCTTTTGTGTAAGAATTTTTGGCATAAGATTTATACCTTTTCTGCGAACTTACACCTTTTGTGAAAGCTCAACTTAAAGGTTTTTCGGAAGTCAGTTATACCTTTTGTGAAAAAAAAAATTCATCAAATTTACACATTTTGCTTAAGCTTATACCTTTTCGTGGAACTGCTTATATTTTTTTTGAAAAGTTACTCCTTTTGTGTAAGAATTTTTGGCATAAGATTTATACATTTTCTTCGAACTTACACCTTTTGTGGATGCCCAACTTAAAGTTTTTTCGGAAGTCACTTATACCTTTTGTGAAAAAATAAATTCATCAAATTTACACATTTTGCTTCAGCTTATACCTTTTCTTGGAACTGCTTACATTTTTTTTTGAAAAATTACTCCTTTTGTGAAATAATTTTTGTCATAAGATTTATACTTTTTCTTTAAACTTACACCTTTTGTGAAAGAGTATATAAGCACAAAAGTATAAATGTTATGCCAAAAATTCTTAC